TGCCCTAATCACCAGCAGCTAAGAGCTATTATTTAACTAAGTCCCTGTAAGCACAACAGGATGCTACTCGTCATTATACCATATTCATAAAGAGAAATATAAGGATTGGGTTGTTGCAACACGGTTTCATCTCTAACAGTCCAACAGTCTCAACAACAAAGCTACTTCTTTATAGATTTGATAGGGCACAGATGTCAGGAGGCTGTAGAAACACACACAAAAAATTTTTTTTTGTGAATTTAAAATTTTAAAGGAACAAGACAAATTCTCAAACCAGAGAAATAGATTTAATATTTAACTCACTATGCAACATTATGTGCCTTCATTATAAAGAGAGTAGCTATAACTTTAGTTTCAATGCAGGTCACCCTATTACTGTGATTAATTGTTAACATAAGTTCATGAAACATTAATAACTGTGATACAGTTCACAACTACAAAGTGATATCCACATTTGTGAAATGGGGAGATGTGGGGAAAAAAAGACTCAGAGGTGCTCATTATGTCTAGTCGACAATAAAACACAAAATATATCTATAACTCACAAACCTGAAACGATGAAAGAATCAGTTATATCCATCCATTCTTCTTCAGCTGCTTATTCATCATAAACCTTGGGTGTGCTGTACCGGTATAAGAGAGACTTTATGGATCTCAGAGTGGAGATATTCACTTGTCAGAACAGCTCAATAATCAAAAAAAGGTGCCAAAAGGAAGAAAAGGTGCATTGGGTATATAAATTGCGTCCACATATATAGAGCAGATTGAGAAACAAACTGAAACATATATATAGTCCAAGAACCCATAGTGCATACAAATCAACTTTGGGAAATAAACATGTAGTTGCTTCCATCATCATGGATATTCACCTCTGCGCAGTATCCATGATCAATGTATTAGCATAGAGATTTCAAGGTCAAAAAAAGAGTGGAAGTGCGGGTTCCCATACAGCAGAATAAGTGTGTATCAGCTCCCTCTGTATAATCTTTATGAAAAAGAATAACCCAGACTCAGTCTAATTATATTTTACTCGTCAGGTGTTGCTCTTTCTTTTTTCCATACAGTTAGTGAAAAATCGCCACTAGAAAGTAAATGATTGACTATTAAGAATTCCAGGAACCAAGCAGACAGATCTCATAGATGCAAATCAGATTGTTTATTGTGTCTATATCATAAATGCTAGAATACCAGCTGCCAACTGGTCCCGTCTCTTCTCTTGTCTCCTCTACTTAAATTTTTCTCATGTGTCATGTGTCTTCATATGCCTCCATTCTGTCTCCCTGGCAGCTTACCATGCCAGCATGAAGCTAAATATAACCATAAGCTTTATGCCTTACGTGAGCTTTGTTGTACAGCATACACATACAGTACTCTGTGTTACACAATAACCTAATAGGCAAGAAACTTCAACTTGGCAACATAGTGTTTACATAAAGCTGTTTAATATGCAACCCTGACCTGTAGGAATTTGTAAAATGTAAGAAATTGGTATGCATGACTATTAGATTTCAAACATCGTGTGAATTACAACACTTGTTGCAGCATGGTCTTGTTTATATCAGATGCAGCTTGTATTGGTAATTGTAGTGTGTGTTCTGTGTGTTCTGCTAAACCCATAGAATAAGATAATAAGTGACCAGCGGTCCATTTCAAGAAGGAGGTTTAATAAACTAAGATTAAAATCTGTAACTCTAAATTGATCTAGCCTTGGGTCAGGAACTGAGAGTTGATTGAAGTAATTCATACACGTAGCAGCTGTTGTGAAACTGTAAACTCAAAGTAGGTCTACTCAAAGTTAAACAAATGCATAAGAAGAAATAAAAGCCAATGTCAGTGGAGCCCCAATTCGATGAGTCACTATGGCAACAGGAAGTGCCTCCCCGCCCAGAAAGTAAAAAACTAAATTATACTAGTATGAATTAAGTTTTATATACCTAAAAATGTTTACATAGTTTAAGTGGCCGTTTTGACATTTATCAAGTTGACTAAATATGTATTTGTGATACCTGAAATACATGTCTTCACAGTCAAAATGATACAAATGATGACCAGTAACAATAGGAATGTGGAGATCTGAAACTAATTTCTAGACATCCAGAATGTTAATTCTAGATTTGAAAAGAATAATTTTGTTTGAAATGGTCATCTTTTTTTTTTCAAACTGGAAGCAAAACTACCTCAAATTACAATAAAAAAACAATAATAATTCTTCTGAAGACAACATTTTAAACATTTATATATTTAAATCAGTATTTCAGGTTTAAGAATTGAGTCTGACTGAGACTTAAGCAGCAGTGGCTGCATACAGGCTATTTTAGTCAAATCACTAGTGGATAGGAATGTGCAAATTATTGATCATTATGCTTACTGTGGTATGTGTCTTGTCTTGGCAGACTGTTCCCAATATGACACCTTAGCACAGCCATATCCAAACCAAGACTGAAATGCAGGGAGACATAGCAGGAAGGCTTTCCAAAGCTGCTATTCCCCTAATTGGCGAGACATGGCTTCGGCTGTGTCTGACAATAGAAAGCTGCAAGAGCAGAGGGTTTGTCAGTTGGGAGCACTGAAGTGAAAACAAGGGAAAATTTGAGAATAACTGCATAGCGAGAGGTACATAAGGCACATGCATTGATCCCCCGCCATCTGTTTTAACCACTTCACACTTTCCATATTGGAATACCTCAACACTTTGTATGATCTGCTATTTCGTTAGAGTAAGGGCTGTCATCGCTGTTGCAGAAGACTAGACACTTTGGAATCTTTTCAACATTTTTTAATTCAACCCCTAAAAATAAATATGGTGTTATTCAATGATTGGTACGTGACACATTGTATTGTTGTTTCTTACTGTTTAAAGTATTTCTATACAGTTGTTGTGCAACATTAATATATGTATTTCCTATCCCAGTAGGAGTGGTAAATATCTTATTTGATCAAATATTATTCCGACTGTCATATATATTGTCTATGAACATAGGCCCTACTGGCTATGTGTTAGCACAACAAATGAAAGTGTTATAAATAAAACATTATTTGGCCAGATAATGTTTTGTGAAATCAATCAGGAATATAATACCTTTAGTTAAATGATTATTTACCCTCCTTGAACCAGCTAGCAGCGAACAGACATGAGGATTCCATTAAATGATTTTTTTTTTTGTCATAATTTAGTAATCGAAATGTAATGAGCGTATGATAAAAAAAACACATTAACATGTTTCATCAGTATTTAAACCCTTAGTGAAATAAAGCTTGTTTTAGCTTTAAAAAATAACATCTCAAAATCAGAAAACACACAAACTGATCAAAATACTCTAAAATCTGTCCCTAAGTGTGCCAGACCCTATACCTCTGTCCATGTCCATTTTGAAAAGTTGGGTTTCTTCCAACAGTTAGCAACTTAGCATGGCAGGCTCACAGCATGTGCCACACACCAAGGGAAAGGCTTCCTTATGAGGCTTTCACCTCCACTCTGCCTCTGCAGCTTCTAAAACTCAGAGAAAAATGTTGCCATCTGTTTAGCAGCCATCTGGTTCTGAAATGTCAACCATTATGACTTAGCCTTGGTCATGCTTGAGATCTGGGCCTTGGGCCTGGCGCCATGATGTTGTCCTCTTCGAATGTGAACCCCTGGGAAGCTTCATGGAAAGAGAAACAAACCTTCTGTGCTGTGGCGTTTTACTGTTCTCAAACTCTGTTGGGGGCCAAGGCACACCTCTGTTGGAGGTGTCTTGTAGAGTCAGTTCGGGGAAGGTTTGCAGAAGCTATGATAGGCCAGCTGCACAGTGGAGCAGAGCATCACCCTCTACTCCTGTGAACATATTAGGATAAAACATGGACATCGGTTCACAATGTCCAAAATGATCAAGGTTTATGGCCTTATGGTTCTTGTTTAAAGTACTACAGTTCTATTCTTCATAGATTTATCCCACCTCATTAGAAGGAGGAATAGATACTAGTTGTGTAAACTAAACACCATAAGGTTATTCTATTAACAAAAAAATTGTAATAGTAAATACAATGAAAGCAGATGTCTTCAGCTTAATCAAACAAATGTTGTAAATTCAGTACCTTGACTTCGACAGTTTACTGTGCAATACCTACGAGGTTAACTTTTAAAACGCTGCCCTTATAAATCCATCACCACTTATTCCATCTTTTTAGCAGTACAAGCTGAGGTCACATTCTCCTCCATAAATGATCTCAATATTATAGTTGTGTCTTTGAGAATGACACATTTTGAAACTAGTTTGCTTTTTTGGAATAATCACATGCGATTTACCAAACTGTGATTGTAATTTGACCCAACATTTTTGTGTGTTTTTGTATTTGATAAAAATAACTTATTTTGTTTTTTCAGAACATAATCATTTTAGTAATCATAACAGATCCACCAAAATAATTTTTTGTTTGCAAAAATATGGTTTCAGTTTCTCATATCTATAAGGTTTTTTTTCTCTTGCACAAGCAAAGATCACACCTCAAAAGATTTAAAACGGTTGTCGGCAGTATGTGGCTTGGTTTGGATGTTGTTGTCCTTTTAAGTATTTTTTTCTTCAATTCTAGTTTAATCCTGTTAAAATTAATTTTCTTTTATTAACATCCACATAAAGCTTTACCAACATACTTAGAATATAATGTATTATGTCTGTCTAAACCAGAGTTGTGTGGTTTTTATCTCTATTGCAGATGATTAAAATTAGAGAATATTTAAATACAGATATTTTTGAGTTATATTTAATTTTATTATACTTAAATTCCTCACAGGATACCTAGTGCTAAACCTATTGGATTATAAAGGCACCTAGTGGAAAGCCAAAGATACAATATATGTTATCCTAAAGGTTAAAATAAGAATCCATTCTATAACTTTCAGGACGGAGATAAAAAAAAAAATGCATTACAGTATATAGTTGCAAGAGCTGTTCATACTTGCTGCAAGCAACAGTAACCTAATCCCTATTTTGCACATTTGCCATTTCAGGAGAGGAAGCTGCTGGGACACGGGTGCCTGGCCATGCTTCGTATCGGTTGATCTAGCAGCTAGAGCATGTTTGCAAAGCCTGCCCTGTGAGAATGATAAATTGAAGTGATACATGTGTGATCTCACCTGTACGGCTCAGGAGTTCCCTGGGTGAGTAACTCTGCTCTGTTTGTGAACTGAACCTATCCTGCCTCCTAGGGGGAAAAGGGGTGCTGGGCTCTGTGAGGCCTTCTGGGAAGACATTATCGCCCACCCAGCTATCCCCATGGGTTAAAGCTATCTATATCTCAGCTAGAAGGACCTTAGTGTCGTTTGTTACTACTGGCATGTTGCTGCATGTTGTTCTGCAGGTATGGTAACGTCTTTATTCTAGTTATTGCTAATTTAATGTGTGATGTTTCTAACAATGACATCATTAATTTTTTTACACTGGCTTTCCTAATATTATCTGTTTATTATACAGTGCTATATGACATACTGTACTAAATTTCCAGACAAAGATAGACTTGGTGCAGGTGAAGCATATGTGGGACATTTTTGCTGACGGAGATTTTTTATTTAATTATCTATTTCATACATTTATCATTTCTATATTTCATATTCCAGCTGAACTACTTCACTTGTATTATGTAATTGGTATTGCATTAATCATGTTAATTAAAAATAACAGAGTAAACAAAAACTCTTTGATGTAGGTGATTCATTCCAAAAGTTGATGCACAGTTGAACAGCCTTTTTTTGGTAGCATATCAAAATGCAAATACAAGCAAAAAATATGGACCTAGAAAATGTAGCACAGGAGAGTTAGAAGGAACTGCCTGGAAGGAGGAAATAAAGGAAACTTTACTATGGTCTGTTGGAATACTAACCTAAAAAAAAAAACAAGCAAGAAAGATACAACAAGTTAGCCACAGCAAGTCACAGAAAGAACATTTGTTCTGCAAAACAATTCCAAGCAGTGATTTTGAAACTATGTTACTATCAGTCAGCAGCATCTGACATTATTGTTATATTTACTTGATTGGTGATCCTGTTACAGACTGCTTTGTCCCTTCAAAAACAACTGGGAACTGATTCTTTAGCTGCAGTTTTAAGAATTTCTTAGGCAAACGTGATATAAGCATACCCAGCATCACAGCTATCATATATATTTAGAGTTTTGTTTATGTTTTCAATGCATTTTTTCTTGTTTTGTTCATCCCCTAGTTTGCTTTTGTTCTGTTGATTGTACTTATGTTGTTCCTCTGTTATTTTCCCCTCAAAGTATACACTTCTGTTCTGAGTTTAGTCTTCTTATTGCTGGATTATATGTTGTATTCCTTCTGGTTCTGTAGGTTTTTTTGTGTAATTCATTACAATTACTGTCTGTAATTTATTATGTATATCTTCATCATGAGACTATCCTGGTTCTGTTGCTACTTTGGTCCACAAACAGAAATCAAACCACCCAAATAATCACATGTTGTTTTTATAATTTTCTTTTAACAGCACTGAAAGAGCACAAAGCTTAAATTATTGTTCTATAATATTTATTAGACAAAGTAGAGTATATTATTTTAAATCATTCTAATGCTCAGTATAAGACATATATATAGTATTTCTTCACAAACATGTTTTTGGGGGAAAGAAAATCTTTTATATTACACAGTTTTATATTATACAGTTTTATATTAGTCTGTTAAATATTACTCAAACAATGGGATGATTTATTTGAACTCTTATGTTAAAATTGATGTTAACATTTGAATACACCTAAAAACATCACCAACAGTATAGTGTGAGCAACATAGACATAAAATATTCCCTGTTTGTTCAACAAGTAAAATTGACATCTATCATCCATGTTACAGGTCTTTTGGCATTTCAGCTCCATTAAGCTGTGATTAAATATTGGCCTTGTTATTCCTTTAAAATCATTTATAGCAATCTGGAAACAATAGCATTTCTGTTAATCCAAAGAGATTAAAAATCAGAGATTTTTCACTGAAGCCAGCTAAATCATTGTCATCACATTCTTACCTTAGTACAGCTAAGCTCTTATTATAATGCATTTGGAGATGTTTGTTTACTCAGCGATTAACCTCTCAATCATCTGACAGACAGTGAGCTTGAATGTCATTGAACATAGCCCATAACACTTTACCCAGGAGGCTGAGAGATATTGTAATTTGCCGACCCTCTCTGAACAGGGTTGAGATTTATTATTGTTTTATTAGAGTCGCAGCCAGAATGTAGCATTATTGTAGGGCATAAGCTCCTCTATTTAGCATGCAACGGTTTGGTGATGTACATACCACTGACTCATTTTGCTGTCTGTAGCCATTGTGCTAACAAACTTATGACTTATACAATAAATAAGTTAGTGTTATGCTTTAATAATGGTATAAAATTTGGAATTAATATTATCTAATAATACATTTCAATGACACAATCTTCTCACTCTAGAGCTTTAAATATCACATTTTTGATGTAATGCAGTGAATCCAGATGAATATAAAGCATGTTAAATCAAACTATTATGAATCTTCTGATCATGTTTTAAATTTATGTGACTTAAATTAAGAAAAAAAGCATATCTTTACGAATTACTTGAGATTAAAGAAGGCATGTAGCAGTAAGGGACTAAAAGTACAGTAGCAGCCATTCAAAATGGCCCTTTCCATCCAACTCCCAGCGAAATCCCCTCCAACTTCCAGCCACTGGAGGGACCTCCTCTTGCATATTTTTTACTCTGACTCCACCCTTTCGTTAAATGTCAGGGTCTGACCAGGAGATAACTCTTCTGTTTAGATCTTAATGTCAACAAATCATGACAGAAGGAATATTTTAGTACAAATATTGATGTTTAAACAAAAGTATTGTACGGGACCAGCCAATGACCAGCCAAGGGCCTATCAAGGAAAGTGGCGACATTTTTAATGGCTACCAATGTATATTCCATGCGATTTATCATCAGTAAGTTCCATCATCTTTGTTCAAGCATTTTTGCAGTATGTTACTCTGAACCTCGGGTGTGTGTGTGTTAGTGTAAAGGCAATTTTTTTACCAGGAGAACTGGGACATTTCATTTTCAAACATCTTATACTAAAACCTTTATTCATCCTTGCTGATTTTTGGGGGCATTTCCACTGTAGAACCCACAGCAGTATACCCTCCCTTTTTATCAGAACCAACTGGTCTTGCTAAGTAGCTGAATGTGATACAGAGATGTCTATCACAAAAGCAAAAGTCAATTTTAGGGAGAATAACTAATATTTCACAAAAAAGTTCATAGAAAGGTAAAGAATTTTTCATTTATTTATTTTCAGCCTACTGATCTTATAGGAAATTTGCTTAAACAGATCAACAGTTCTAATTCTTTTAAGTGTTACGAATAACATAAAAAAGAGAAAGAAATAATATTATAAAACTCTTACATATTTCTAATGTAATATTTAAAAGATGTATTTCTCTCTTTTCTCTTTCTTCATTTTGAAAACACAGCCACAGCATCTGGTTTGATTTTCTTCTGTCGCAAAACATGAAAGATTGCAAACCCTTTAAATTTGATGACAATAAAAACGTACATTTCTAATTCACAATTGTACAACAAATATTATTATGATCAAGTGAAATATTTTATGGAACAGTTTACACTCCTTATCATTCACTACCAAATGAATCCCAAGAGCAGTGTGGTTAGTGCAAAAAAAAACAAAAACAAAAAAACAAGCAAAAAACAAAATAAGCTCATACTTGTTTGTGACCACTTAAACATCTGTTCGGCAAGGCAGTGACAGAGAAGAAACTGTTCTGGTTGCTTAAGGTCCTGCTCCTGATGGACCCGAGACTTTTGCCAGAGGCAATGGAACAGTCAGTGTCCAGGGTGAGTGGGGTCAGCTGCAATCCTGGCTGCACTCCTCTAGGTACTGTAAACATATAGTTCTGGTGAGATGGGAGGTTGAGGCCAATAATCCTCTCTGCTGAGTGGATGAGCCGCTCCTACTTGGCTTTGTCCCTGGCTAAAGCTGCAGCAAACCAGCCTGTGATAGATGATGCAAGCAATGCTATGCCAGTTTACAAATAAAATTAAAAACCTCGAAGTTCAGTTTTCCCAGATAAAAATGCACTTGCTCATTTTCATAGTTCACTTTTTCAAACAAATAACTACTGTAAGTTCACAAACCTATAATGAACTATTTCAAGCTCATTTGGCAAATTAAGCCACGATCCTACACACTAGCCTCACATTTCACCATTTAAATGTGTGATCATAATATATACAAAGAAATGGAAAATACTTGATGCAGTCAAGGTATAATTTACAAGCAATGAAGCCTTTATTCAGCCAAATTACACAGAACTTCAGAAGCATACAGGTACATTCAGGTTCTGCTGAAAATATCAGGTTCAAAAATAATTCCTTACATTACATTCCTCATCCAGAGGATTTAGAGGTTAGATGTTTTAACTCATGTGATGCTTCAAATGTTAAGTGGATGTGGCCGAAATACGGACTTAAGTCCTAGTTGGCACAGTTTGCACAAAAACGTGATTTTTTTTTTCAAGCAGAGTCTTCCTTTGCTATTTCATAAAACTCTGGCAAGTGCCCTTCTAAACTGGAAATAGAAATACCAGCAGATGACTCTGAATAAGGCAGTTTAGTACTAGCAGTAGACATGCTGGTCTTTCATGCTGTTTGCTGTAATAAGTGGCATAAAAACCTAACATTATCCATTGAAAGTGTCATTATTAATGAACGTGAATGCGAGCTGTGTGTGTTGCTTATTGTTCCCCGACTGAACGTCTCTCTCGTTTACTTTCATTACTTCAAAACTGATCCGTTCAGTTCACCATTCACTAAAATTATGAACGTATTCAGTGACGCCATTCACTGAACACATTCATGCACAACACAGGATGTAACAATGGAGACAACAATAGCTGTGTAGAGGTTCACCATCATCCTCAGTATTGTTAATACTCAAGATTTAGAGAGCTGGATGAAAAAAGTCATCATTCAGCTCCCTATAATAGAGATCTTTGTCCCACAGTGCTCCAGAGTCCTCCACTACATAAGGTGTATATTGGGCATATGTACATGTATATTGTTCGCTCCTGCTGTGAAGTTTGTGTTCGGTTTGAACAAATCTTTAGGGCCCTGTTATACC